GGGCCGGGGATGGGAAATACGGAGAGCGGGGAACCGGGCGGGGGGTCCGGGCTCTTGCCGCCCCCGCCGGGGAAAGTGCCCATGCCGGATCAAGGGGAGCTGGAAGAGAGATTCGCGATGGTGCTGGTGAGAGACCCTCCCCTTCTCTCTCTCTCTCTTTCTCTCTCTCTCCCCCCGACCCCTCATCTAGTTCCCTCGCTCACACCCCCGAGTCAGCCCCCGCCGTGAGTCGATTCGCTGCGAGGCTCTCCGGGGGGGGGCATCGTCCCGATTCCGCTCGGTTTCCCGACCGACCCGCTCTCCTGCAGGAAGGGCTGGAGACCGCCAACCACACGGCGCTTTCCTCCCCCGCCCCCAACTTCCCCAGACATGATTCCTGGCCCCGTCAGAGATGGGACCCTCTGCTCGGAATCCTTTTTTTCCCTACTCTTTTTCTTCCATGGGTTTCTTAAAAAGATCTGCTGGCTGCCTGCATCGCCTCCGGTTGTTCTGCAGCTCACCCGCTTCTCGCCTGGTCGGTTGCCTTTCTCTCTAGCCTGTTTCTTTTGCCACCCCACAACCCACCCATCTCGAATACTCGCTGCTGATGTGATCCAGTCCAATGTCCTTCCAATCCGCCGTTTTTTCCCCCAACCCCGTAGATCCATAAGTATTTAGAGTCCTTGATCCTCAGGCTCCTCAAAGATAGTTGGAGGAACTCTTTCCAGCTAGATAGATCCCTGATTGGATTTCAGATGTATTATTCCACCCCTGCCCCCTCACGAAACACATTTCTCAAGTTGTCCACCAATAGATCCTCGGTAGTTTCCTTTTTTAAAAAAAAATTATCTCAGATCTTCCTGACTTTTGATTCAGACAGATTCCAAGTCCTTCTGGTAGAAACCTGGCAGATGCTTTATACCAGGCAGAGGGTTGGATGGGTCAGGTATCTGGATTCCTCCAACGGACCCATGCCAGTACCTGTGATCCCCGGTGAGGGCCACAGAGGTAGCTCCTTCCCTCCTCCTCCTCCTCCTCCTTTTGTCCTGTCTTCCTCAGCCGGGCAGCCTCCACACTGCCACAGCGGCCACCCTCCCGAGCCAGCATGGCCCACAGCCATTTTAGTAGGAGATGGTGGGAATGGGACGTTCAGCTTGCCTTTACCCACTTGGCGCGGGGAAGTCAGAATTTAAGTGAAAACAAACGTGTGGATTAGCCTTGCCCCTTTCCTTCTCAGCTCGATGTTAGACAACTGTAGTCCTAAATTATCAGCTCTGGAGGGTTCAGTTCTTGTTCTCACTTCTTCTTAGAACTCATGTGGTGGAACCCTTAACACTTTTGCTGTCCTCGGTTCGTCCTGTATAACAGAGCCTGGAGAAAATCTGTTTTGCCTACAGTTTCCAAGAACCCCCCCACTAGACATGCTGATAGTGGGGTTTATGGGATTTGTAGTCTTTCCTCAGCACTACTAGTATATAGAGGTAAATAGAACTGCATGCCTGCTTACCCATACAGTAGTACTTGACTTCTGCTGGATCCACGCTGTTCTTTGGAATCGTAACCATCTTTATTTCATGGGTTGGTCTCTCTCTACCCTCTGGTATCCATGGGCCTCAACGCCATTCAAGACTTTGGCTTGCCCTCTCCTTCCCCTGCTGTGAACCATTTGGGTGAGGACTGGCATTGGCAGGGCTGTGGAATGCCCACATCTCCCTTTATCACTTTCATTGTTTGGTATGTGCAACCACATGGGTTGTTCATCTCTAATACAGCAGAGGAGGGCAGGGGGCATTGTTTGCAAATGAGAAGATTCATCACCTTTACACATACTCTTAACCTATGAATGAAAGGAAGGCAATTCTGCCTGGTCAGCTGCTGTTGACACCGTTGCCTGACAAGGGATCAGAGGTCCGTGCAGAAGCAGAGTCCATGATCACCGGAAGCCAGGACTGGCTGGTACTGTCTCTCCTTTAGAGCATATTGAGCGGGGAAATGTTCCATTTGTGTGTGGCAGGCATGTGCATGGGGGTGGATGCCTGGCTCAATATTTGTGGCATGACTTTACATGATCACTTTAATGGGATTTGCTTGATCTTTTTTGGTGTAATCCTAGTCAGAAATGCAAGCCCCACTGAAAATGAAGCTAGAGGCTACAGAAATTAGACTTAACCTACTTTAGAGACACTTTTTCTAACATAGGTCTTGCTTTCTAGAAGCCTTTTTTAGGGATAGCTTAACAGTGGTTGGAGTCTTCCATCGGGATCTTGATTAGAGGCTACCAGATGTTCTAAAATTAGATCAATGCATCATCATGACACTGTTCCAATCGGTCTGTAGGATGTGTTTCTGGGAATGTACCCAAGGCGTGGTCATAGCCTTAACCTGTATTAAGGATTTCAATAGGGCAGCTCTACCATTAGGCAGAGTGAGGCAGCTGATTCAGCTAGCAGATGACATTGGCAGCACATTTAGCTTCTCAGTTTCCCTCCACTCCTGAGCTCCTGTGGCCTTCTCCTTTCTGCTACGGCAGAGCTATGTCTGTGCCACTTGCCCTGCCCTCGAGGCCTGGTGCCCTCAAGGAGGATCTTTCTCCCTTGCCAGCATTGAAGTAAAGTTTATCTGCCACTCCATTCTGGAAGTCCAACAGGGATGTAAGCATCACGTCTTTGGCATCAAGACATGAAATGTCTTGGACTGGATCCAGGAGGCTGGTGACAGCAGCAAAGTAGAACAGTCCATTCCATAAAAAACAAAATCCCAAGGGATAGAGAGGGACCTTGTATTTTCTTCTTATAGGAAGGAAGAGATGGATCATTTCTAGGGACACTTATGGGAAGTAGAACGATGTTTGAGAACTGAATGACACCTCCTTTTTAAAAGTGTTTTTACCCCTGTGATGTTTAGATCCTACTCTTCCTTCAAGGAGTGTGTGGTTCTGACCCATTATGTTTTTCCTCAAAGAAACCCCATGAAGAAGGTCCGCTTGAAAGATCCAGGTCCCATACAGGCATTTGCAAACAATTTATTGGAGAGTCAGAGAAGAGAAATGACCCCTATTTCCAGACCTCTCATGCTTGGAGAGCTTTCTAAGGGAGAACCTTCGCCAGTTCACCTGAAGACACTTAGAAACTTCTGTGCAGCTGGCGGTGTGAAGTCCTTGATGGCGTGGGAGTTTCTAAATGCCTTCAACTCCACAGGTGATGCTCTCTCCTTCTGATCCCTCTGCTCACTGCACGAAGTCTGAGACTGCAGTCAGGGTGGAGGGTGAGGGAGTTGAGGCGGCGTGACCCAACCTTTCCCTCCATACTTTCTGAGGACATGGGGAGATACCCATCTGAAGTGACTGCCCCAGAGATGTCGAGCGATTACAATGGCTGAGGGAGCATTTGCACTTGGGTGTCCCCCATTCCTCATCCACTGTTCTAACTCAGGGGTGAGCGACTTTGTGGACTTCGAGGTGCTCCCATTATCCCTCCCCATTGGCCCTGTTTCTTGAGGCTAATGGGGACTGCAAGCAAACAATGTCTGGAGGGCAATATGTTTCCCTGGCATGGCTGTGACCACTATGCTATGTTGACTCTTACTGTGTGGAATGAAGGAGGCAGAATTTTGGGCTGAACCACTTCAGATAGTGTATGGGTGGGTGAGGGATATATTTCTGAGGCTGGCTTCACAGAAAAAAATCCCTCACTTAGCATGTAGCATGCTGGCAGATCAGGACAATACAAAGCTGTATTCTCGGATGCATTTGCTTACATGCTAAGTTTTTTTAGTGTATTTCCCCCTCCCAGCACCCCGTCCATAGTCTGACATGATGGACTCCAATGTTTTACCTGATTATTCTACATAATGACCAAGCAAAGCAGAGGGTGCTGCTTATACACTGCCCCATAGCACTTAAAGCACTCTTGGGGCAGTTTACAATTTAATTATGCAGGCTATACATATGCCCCCCCCCGCCCCAGGTACTCAATTTGATGACCTCAGAAGGATGGAACACTGAGTCAATCTTGAGCCAGTCAGGATTTAACTCAGGTATTGAGCAGAGTCATCACTGCAGTATGGCAGTTTAACCACTGTGCCACAAAGCTCTTTCATTCGTCCTAATGACAAGTCAGCTTGCCAGCCTTCCAAGAGCTGGCGCCCTCCAGCTATTCTGGATGACAGCTGCCATCAGCTGCAGACAGCACGGCCAATTATGAGGCATGATGGGAGTTGTGGTCCAGCACCTCTGCAGGACAGCAAGTCAAGGGAAGACCAGCCAAGAATGAGGACTAGGCTAGGACTGTGAAGATCAAGCTTCAGATTTCTACTCAGACGGGCTCCTGAGAATGAAAGGAAACTGGCCATATTGTGAGCTAGTGTCCAAAGCGTTCATATAGACACATTTCAAATATCTCTCTGGGCAGCACCGAGTGAACATCGGCCTCAGAGGTGCCATCCTGGAGCCCTCTTTCTCTTTGCAACATATGTGGATAGGCATACATTCTGAACAGGCCTGTGTTAATTGATTTTAAGGGCAAAATCTAAGAATTCTTGTTTTTCTGTTTTCCAGAGGGGGTTTTCTTTCAGTCTCATGAACCTTTGTAACAGAATTCTGGCATACAAGATGTAATTATTTGTGCGAAGCTTTCAAGGCTGCTGACAAGCCATTCAGTGTACTTGTTTTCTTGGGGGAAGGGGGGAATTTCCAGGGGACTTTTCCCCCTTCAACTCTGGAAAGTATGTTTGTGACAGGAAGCTGACAGCATGAGGCGTATACATAGTTCCCAACTGTTTCTCCCCTGCCAGTGATGGGCACGAGGACTGTTTGAATAGTTCCATTTGTGCCCAGATATGGAGGAACGACTGCAATGTCTCAAAAACCACACAAGATGACATAGGGAACATAAGAAGTTTCCCTCATGCTGAGTCAGAGCATTGGTTGATATAGTCCCTTATGCATCACTGCAGCCTCCTCCAATTTGGCACCTTCTAGGGTTTTGTACTACATTCCCCTTCAATCCTAGGGATGCTGGGAAATGTAGTACTTCACACATAGAAGAAGCCAATTTAGAGAGAATTGGCTTGGTTGATACTATTCTGGCTTGCTTGTGGCCCCCTGGATCTGATTTGGATGCCAATTTGATACATTGGATTGTATCAGC